ATCTCTCATTTGGTCACTCAGCCAGCCAGGTATCCACATTTCTCCAGATGACCTAGACATACCTGGGTCATATCACGTGGGCAAACCTCCCTGCCAAAATCACAAATATTGTGCATCTATGTCAATCAATTGGTCTAGATTACCAAAAAAAAGAGGTGAGATTAATACTGATCTCATGCAGTCTCCTGATAACTAACACTATCTTCTCAAAGTACTCAAAAAATGCCATCTGTTTAATTACCTACTACTAAGCCATTTTGTAATGCTGCCCAGAATTTGTCAGACTTGCATCATTTCTAGAATCCAAGAATTTTAAATATCAGGAAAGTTTTTTTCTATCTCCAGTTTCCTGGCATTCCTTTTAATTTCCCATTGGTCCTTACGGTTTTTGGTAATCACATTTGGAAGTGTTTTTTTTCTGGTTCCTTTAACTCTGTAAGCAGAATTCAAAAACTGGTTGCTCACAGGCAGCATCTGTACACAGAGGACTGTTTTGTGGGACTTGCAGTGACTGTTAGAATTCATTCTGAACGTCTTTGGTCAGGGCATGCTCTCTGCTGCCACAGATCGAGCCCTTGCCTCGACTGTCTGACACCTGCCAGCTTTACCTACACACTTGATCTGCCTGCCCACAGTCATTTAATTCCCAGACTCCTCATTAAAGCTTTCAGATCATCCTCACCATCACCCCCCGTCAGACTCCATTTGCCAAAAGAAGTTGCAGTTTGAATTGTCTCCTTGATGGTAATGATTAAACAAACTAGCATTTAGCATTATTCCTAGTGTCATCTTTTAATCTAACATTATCTTTCCCAAGCCAGTGAGCTTTTTGCTCTTTTTCATTTCACTTAAATCCAAAAAGTGATAGGAACATGACTATTAATAATATATTCAACTTATAACTTTTATAACAATGACAGAGAGAAATAACTTGAGATAAATAAAATTCATAAATGATCAAAAAACAGTGGAAGCAAAGCATTGAACTTCACCCTCCTTCTACCATACCTTTTTCTTAAGCTGATCTTTGGTCTTCCCATTGATTGAGTTGAATTTAAACTTTTTTTCCTTTCCCAGCATTAATAAGAAGGATAATTAACCCAACAGGTTAGGGAGGTAACCCTATAGTACTTAAACAATTCACAAATTAGGTATCAACCTGTGGATAAGCAAGAGTTAGCATTAGCCATTCTGGATCATTGCCTTTGATGTGAAGCCTGCATTAATAAGAAGGATAATTAACCCAACAGGTTAGGGAGGTAACCCTATAGTACTTAAACAATTCACAAATTAGGTATCAGCCTGTGGATAAGCAAGAGTTAGCATTAGCCATTCTGGATCATTGCCTTTGATGTGAAGCCTGCGTTAGTACATGTTTTCCCCCAATAACAGCAACCATGATTGAGCTCGTGCAATAGGGGTTTGCTTCTACCCTCCATCCCTCATGCACTCCAGGGCTAGCACTCAGTGAATATACAAAATTTAGAACAGGCATGGCCTGCAATCCTCTTTTCTCTTTTACCACATTTCCTTTAACCACATTTCAAGATTATCAGAAAAGAAGATCAATTTCTAGAAAATAACATAACAGCCCTTAAGTTAAAAAATTGCATATTAAAGCTAAAATTTTCTGTGCCATCAGAATCTTCTTTTGAATGTCCTTTTCCTCATCTCACTGGCTGAAGCAGCTGGTTGTCTTCTTAGCTGGGGTTTTGCACCAACATAATGTGCACCCTCTCGTGGGCCACCACCCATCTTTCCGGAGCCCTGTTGTGTCGCTGTTGTGATCAGGAGCCACTTGAGGTCTAGAGAAGTGAAAGAGGGAAAGTGAAGGAAAGAGTTCCTCCCATAAAGTGTCTTCTTTACCTCAATGCCTCTTTTTTTTTTTTACTTAGTCACTTTATGTGTCTGTTTCTTTGGAGACTCCTGTTGATCCATAAATTCTTACCATTCTTATCACCATTTTATGTCCTGGGCTATTGGAGTGCAGTCAGCTCCTAGTGACCATGGTCACGACCCAGAACTCTGAGTTTGTTCCTCAGGCCTATTTTTATATCAGTGGGGTGCACCCATTTACACAACTTTTCAAGACTTTTTTTTTTTTTTTTTTTTTTTTTAAATTTAAGGGAAG